CTCTCTCTCTCTCTCTCTCTCTCTCAATATATATATATATATATATATATATATATATATATATATATATCCATCTATCTCTATCTATCTATCTATCTATCTATCTATCTATCTATACATGTATATACATGAGTCAGTGAAACTCCGATGAAACAGTTTGTCACAGCCCCTCGTTTGTTGTCTTCTTCTCTCTCTCTGCCTACGGTTTACCGGGCAGTTCTGTTTGTGACGATATATGTATACGATATATATGTACATATATATATACATATATATATGTATTTATCTCCCTCTCTCCCTCTCTCTCTACACACACACACACACACACACACACACACACACACACACACACACACACACACACACACACACATACACAGACGCCTTTTCATGTAGCAAGAGGAGGCTAGTCAAAGGACTTGGAGCAGCTTGACTTTTCAAAGAGTCCATTGTCCTGGCACCAGCATGATATATCGGGTCAATCGGAGGTCTGTATCCAGGCTTGATTGCAATTGTTGTCCACTTTTCTCTCCATATGTTTTACTATTAGTTTCTGTCTCTCCTCAGCTTCCTGCTTCTCTATGCCATTGTCTAGAATATTCCCTCCTATCCTTCCATTCTCCCTTTGTTCCTCCTTTCGATCACTTCCTCATTCCGTCCACCTATCCACTCTTGCTTTCTTAATTACCTCATGTGTAACATCCTTTCGTGCATTCTTTCTTCCTTCTGTTCTGTGCACGGTATTTCCATCCTTACATACTTCCATCCTTCCTTCAGTCCCTCCATGCATCCTTCCTTCCTTTTGTCCGTCCTCCCTCCTTTTCCGTTCTAACTTCCATGCTTTCTTCCTTTCATCCTTTGCTGCTTTTTGGCACCACATTGTTCAGGTCATCCATGATCCATCAACTGTTGTGATCTCCCTTTCCATCCCCTACTTGTGAGTCAAATCCTTTCACCTTCCTCATCATCCTATTAATTCTCATCCTCTGCCACCTACTACAACTACCGTTTGTACGTACGAGGGCGATCTGTTTATGTCATTCCTCCCAACTCTCTCCCTCCCCTGCCTACCCTCCTCCCCTTCTCTACCTTACTTGGTTATCTCTTTCGTCTTCCTTTTTCTTACTTTGCCAGGACCTTTGTTTCCCATCGGTTCTAATCCTTTTGCAACTCTCTCCCTCCCTCTGTCCCCTCCCCTGCCTTCTCTTTTCCCCCTCCTTACCTTCCTTCTTCCTATCTTTCCTCATCCGGTTCATACTTCACGACAAACTATCTTTTGCATCGGTTCTAGTTCCTCTCCTTCTCCCATCCCTCCCTTCTTTCCGCCTCCCTTCTCTCCACCTCCCTTCTTCCCTCCATCCTTCCTGCCTTGCTTCTGTCCTTGATTGCCTCGTTCTTTGCGTTTGGCCTTTTTTGCCTCCTTCCGTCTGTCTGTGTTTTCCTTATTTTATCTCATCCCTCTCCCTCTTATCCTCCTTTCCCCAACTGTTCCTTTCTTAGAAATTTCAGGACAGGGGCAATCATTTGAATCTTTTGTGTAACTTTCTTCTCCACTGGTTGATACTACTTGATAGTGCATCCACATTCGTGTAACAGGTAATTCAAAATGAGTTTCGTTTTTCCTGTTTTATTTGACAGGGTGAGCATGCGGTGGAATTGATTGAGTGTACTACACACATCAAAAGTGTGACAGCTAGTCCCCAAATGCTTGATTTGAGCCTATGGACGGCTAAGAAATCCAGGAGTCTATAAATCTGAGTTCTGCTACCTGGCAGCTACCAGACTTGAGTCACACCTGCTTCACTTCCCTCTTCAACATCCATGCATCACGCCGAGTTCCCACGATGAAGACAAGATTCACACAACATGAGCAACTTGAAAATTGCTTGACGATTTATATATATATATCTGGAGTGTATTTTTTGGCTGTGACAGACCTTTCTTTGTTTCGTGGGTGTTTTGCTGGCTTGTGATGGGGTGTGAACCGACAGTCTGTAGAGTTTTCCATCTGGTGTGGGTGAGTGATAGTCTACTTT